GACCCTGTCCGTCACAGGATCCCAACAAAGGGGCGTCGGGATTTTCGGCACTCGCTAAAAAGCTACGTCGAATTCAGTCGCTGTCTAGAGGAGCATTTTAGCGCCTGACTGCTCTGAGTGGAAGTTTTCTCCGACCAACTCACCGGGAAGGTGGCGCACAGCATCAAATGATGTCACTTGTATGTCTAGGACGCCTTAGGTTTGAGCCCTAACGGTGATAGGTTTTTGACACTTGCTATATAACTAGGTCGAAATCAAGTCTAGAGGAAAATTCTAGCAGCCGGATTGTCCGATGGTAGTTTTTCGTGGTTTCTTCAAACAACATCAGGCGAATGCCGCAGCAATACCCTAACAAAGAGGTCACGAATAGCGCCTGATCTTTCTGTCTTCTTCCTTCTCCTATCCTTACCCCGTACTTACGCACACACACACGCTACACGACCACACAACTTCGGTATTGATACTGGAGAATTGGGAAATGAAAATATGTGTACCGAATCTGCAGAACTGTGAGCAAAATAAAAAAAATCAACAAAAGAAGTACATAGTGTACATCGTATGCTCACAAATAACTTAGTAATTACTAATAGTGGAAATCATACAAACGATCCTTTTCGTAGAGTGTGTGAACTAATCGCTTACGTTCATATCATGTCTTTACCATGCCATTTTCCTCAAAATGGCATGTTAATGATCTTGCGGTCATTAACTATTTGCTATATATTCTCTCATCTAACCCTTTACTCTTCATTTATTCATTAATGATGCCTTTTTTGTGATATTAATAGGCAATTACAATCTAACACAAAACATTTTTGTCGAAAATTCGCGCTAGTTGATAAGTCAATTAAATGGTGTTGAGGCATGAAGGAAACGCCTTCCCATTAAAGGCATGGCATCATCACCCTCACAACAAAAGCATTAAACGTCAATCAAATCATCTCCTACGCAGTTCACTGTCTTTCTGAACGCGAACTCCTCTCTGAAGGAGCTTGAAATGCACGCTGTGTGGCTTGCCTCTTGCCGCTTTGTCGCGCACACGGCTGCGGCTGCCCTGAGGTAAAAGAGCATTGTAGCCCCTCGTCAATGGTGCGACAGCTTCAAAGCCCTCCCACCCCCCTACGGGGCAAAGGCGCTCCCCTGACGCCCTAAGCGCGGGGACCTTCAAGCTCTAAAGACCAAAGTCGCCCTCACAAACCAGCTGTTACTGCATGTCCCTTTCCCGAAGGCCATTTGTTCACTCCCCAACCAACGATTTCCATGAATGTCCATAAAAGTCACAATCCCAAGACCAATTCCAAATAAAACACAATTTAAATAAGATATTTCGAAAAATAATCACTTCAATAAATTTCATTATTGAATTCACTAAATTATTGCAACGTTCCTGGGATTAAATTGTATACAATTCCTCTCCAAAGCCTTCTAACTGTACCTAGAACTTCAATAGATTGAGTGAAATCTGTAAGATCATGTAGTACATTTCAACATTAGGACTATACGCATAATGCTACAAGAAACAACTTTCATATTTGCGTTTATATTATATTTAATTTTATTTCTATTTGGCTATTTTTCTTGCACCTACGTCTATTTTTTTTTTTAATTTTTCAAAATTATTTACATAAAATTAATTATCTTTACGTTAGAGGCGTCACATTTAGATCAGGCAAGCATCATGAAAAGGTGTGGCGCGGCATTGACGGCGCCAGGTCAACAGGGAAATCCTTTTCACATTTAGGTGGTCGTTGTCTTCTCCCGAAATGGGTTAAGCTATTAAGGGCAGTTCAGTACGAACGCAATCCACTGAATGGAGAAAGCAAGCGGCTCGAACGGATGAAGCAGCGCCTATCGCAAGTGGACGAGCACATGAAATCCATCATCGGGTGAGTGCCTCGCTAAGTCCCAGGGTAGTCTACAACATTATCACTTTGTAAGTACTGAGGAAAAAGCTTATTCACGTATCCATTGAATTCTCAATTGGTCTTTTATTTTCTTGATTGCCTGTTTTCTAATTATATTCAAAGTTTACACAATTTTACATCACTTATTAATCATAGTTTGTATAAAATCATAGCTTGTATAAATCACCAAATTAGTAAATAAAGAAATGTTTTGAAATCCCATTTACTCTCAAAGTTCTTGATTCTGCTACTATAAGTGAGATCGGAAGATTCCCTGAGTGACAATATTACTGTGGATTCTTTAAAGAAATGTTGATGCCCCTCGTACGTCGACGGGTATCTCAATGTGATTTATTTGTTTTGAGAAAATTAAATACAATTGAATCAAATGATACCTGAAAATAAGATCTGTTTCCTTCGGAGCTAGCTTAAACGAAGCTGAACCCCTCACCTCGCCTGGTATTTCATTCAATACGTTCATTCTCGTTCGTAAATAGGGTCTTCGAAGAAGGAAATCCCCCAGTCCCTCGCATTTTCCTCTCCTCTCTCTAGATATCCAGGCGGGACCCTACAATTATCACCTCTGTGATCCTTGGATCCTCAGCAGAATCAGGGTTAATGATAGTATAGGGGGCGAATGATTAATGCATCATACACGTGGAATGCATGTTAACAGGGAAAATGGGAGTACACCAAGAAAACGAACCTATTTGTCCGTCATAAGTTCCACATGGAGCCTCCGGGATGGAACCCGGGCACCAGTAGAGGAAGGCGAGCAGTCTGACCACTACACTACTGGTTGCGAAAACCCTCATATTAGTTATCACTCCTCATTCTGAAATCCACTTTCGGACAGCCGGACATATTTCGGTGTTACGAACTCACTAGTTTCGTTGATACGGAAAAGGTGTCCGTAAACGCTCGGAACTATTACGGTTCTTTTCGCATTGGAACTTAAGAAAGTACACAAACACTTCAAATCTTCGACTAGTTTTAAGTAACTATTTTAGCAAAGCTAGTATGCGGGAATAACTCCCCGCCGGAAAATAAACCCCCTCCCGCCAGTTTCGGTGGGCTGGCGGCGGCGGCGGCGCCGGGTCGGACGGCGTCGGTCTGGACCGGCCCGGGCGCGGCTGCCTCGCCCGAGCGCTGCTGTTCATTCCAGAGAACTTAATAGCGAAAAATCCACGGAGATTACACCGCTGTAGGAGCAGCGAGGCGAGCCACGGGCCGCGTTTAAGGCGCTCCTCCTCCGCGTCGCCCGCGTCTTCCTGCCGCCCCCCCCCCCACCCACGGTCGGCAGGCAGGCCGGCCGGCGGGCGATTAGCATTGCAATCTGGTTATACAAGCAGCCTGCGTCGCCTGTGATGTATTTCCCTCCGAGGCGAGCTGCGAGGAGGCGCGAGGCGGCGTGGGGCGGAAGGTGTGGGGGGACGGGGCATTAGAGGAAACGTCGGGCTAGAGCGAGCAAGGGCCTATGTGTGGAGGTGGAGCGAACAACGCGGACTGGGTTAAACGAGCGGAATCACTGGAGGAGCACAGCGCCGCGCATTGTGTAGCCTCAGCTCCGAGAGGTGAGAAAGAATACGACTGGCGGGCCGGGAAAAACCTGTCGGAGCCGACTTGGTACTCAGCGCGTCTCCTGAAGGCGAGTCAAGAAGATACGAATGCGGGCGTGCGGAGTGGCGGGCGGCTGTTACGGATGGACTGCGTCGTTTGATGCGAGAAGATACGGGAAAATTGAATAGTACAGTCGCAGTGTGCTTAGGGCAAGGTGATGCAGTTTGAGGAACGATGCTACAGGGTTCGTCGGGATAGTTCAAAACGTGCGGGTCGAAAAATTGTGATGGGTGGGAGCAATTTGGTGCAGGTCAAAAGCTTGGTGTAGACCAAAACAAGGTACGATGGTTAGGGCAGGATGCAAGAAGTTACAAGGGCGCGCACACAGATCTGGATATTGCAGATCGGGGGAGATTGCTGCTCCCGACAGGATGTGTCAGTTCGGGTTGAGATAAAGTAGTGCAGTCTGAATGAGTGTACGGCAAAGTGAGGTTGTTGCAGACAGTACCAGGACAGCAAGGTGTGGGTACTTAATGGTAAACACGGAGCTTTTTTCTTTTTTTGCAGGGCGGTTGAGTCGGTATGTGGGTGCGGGTCAAATTTGGTCGGGGTGGGGACAGGTGGGGCAGAAAGAGAGAGGTAGAGAGAGACGGGAGACGCCAAGAGGACGGTAAGAAATGGGAAAGGGATAGGAAGGGAAATGAAATCGGAGGGGGGTAGGCGGGGAAGGGAATGTGCATGGAGAGGCAGGTAGGTTATGTGAAGGCAGCGACGGGAAGGGTAGAGTTGCAGGGATGGATGAGGAAGGTGTTGGGTGAAGAGTGTCTGATGGCGCGGTGAGAGATGGTGGGTGAAATGCGATAAGAACGCTGGGTTTGTGGACCGGGCCGGAAGGGCGGGGCAAGTGATACGGCGAGGGGTGAGGAGGAGAAGAAAGGCATTAGAGCAAGCTGAGGGTAAGACGGGGATCGCCAGGTGAGTGCAATCGGTGAGCATCGTGGATGCGCGTGGGCGGGAAGAAGGCTGCTCGTGATTCAAGTATGCACGTGCGCCCTATATAACGCGCTCGCGCCCGCGCCCGCAGATATCGCGGCTTTACGTTTTAATTGCACGGCAGGCGGGTGATTTAACGGCGCCGCGTACAGGTCTAACCCTCCCCGCGCTATCAGATCTGCCTAAGTGTTCTCGCTAAGAGGAAATTCTCTATGTGTTAAGGAGGGTCGTTTGTTGTGTCCGCTGCGGTTACAGTCAGCGGGTGCGGCGGTGCCCCGCCCCCGCAATTACTTGCAACCCGTGCATCAATTGTGTAAATCGGCCTTAATCGTACAGTTTTCAGAAACTGTTATTTCAAACTATCTATGGTTCCGTTTTAATGAGAATGTGAACTTCCTAATGTATAATCGCCTGCGTTCTAGGAAATTCTTAGTTTTTGCTAATAACTATTTTGACGTTTTAGCAAATAATTATTGCAGTATGTGAACTTACTTAATGATAATTTTGTAACGTGAAAATGATTATAAATTGGCGGTACGTTCATTACTTGTCTTTAACGTAACCAATACTCACTGTGATTTGTGAGTGAATCAAAAGTCTTCTTTCAGATACAAATGGATGAGAACCCCCGCTTCTGAAAAAGAAATAATTAGAATAATTAGGAATTGAGTTTAAATGAAAATTGAGTTTCAATGTATACATTTATTTACAAAATATCGACAGAGGTTTTTTATAATATCATTAATACGTCTATTTTAGTACCAAACATGCAGTAAATAAAACTGAAAAATTCTCGCAATGTATCTGACGAATATTTGACTGTTCAGTATATATTTGAAGGGTCTCTCCCCCATTGACCTAGTTATGAGATATTAAGGGTTATACTACAACTTTCACTAAATAACTCACTCTAAAACTTTTAAACACAGCACTCTTGCATATAAGCCCATACTGGATTTAAATAACATATAACCCTAAAAGAGTAATATGTGAACTTTCATTTAATGCTGATAAATCATTTTCTCAAAAAATGTGGATTAACTCCTAGTTCTACTGAGCTATACATTTCTCCCAGGGACTCCTAAAAAATAGCATTTTGTCTTAAGCAGATAATTGCGCTGGCCAGCGACCGCATGTTTGTCTTCGTGGTAAAGATATGGCTTTTGCCGCCAATGGCGTCGCCGCCTTGGGGAGGTTTCCGTCACAGGGGCGCGGTCGTGAGTGGAAACAGCCCCATTCCCACGTCCCCCGAGGGCCGCGTGACGCTGTGCAGTCGGAGAAGGTGGGGCGGAGGACGTGTGGGCGAGGGTGGGAAACTCTCCGGGGGCACTCGAAGGAAGAAAGAAATGAAGACGGAAAAGGATTCGAGCTTTAAAACATACATACTAATGAATGAGAGTGCTTAGGAAAGCTTTTATTTCCACTTTTCCGAGAGAAAATAGTACTCTTTCGTATGAGGAATGAATAAGGAGAGACACAAGGAAATGGTATTTTAACGTGTTAAGTCGCCAGTACGCATGAAGTCAGAATTAAAATACAAAATACGCGTGAATTAAAATGTAAGTACGCCATTAATTCTAAATTACAAAAAAAAACATAAAACTAATGTAACCAACATAGACGGACAAGATATAAACATTATATTATTAATGAAACACACATACATACTAAGTGGAATGTAGGTATTTGTACAGGTCAATAACAGAGATTTCTTTCACACTCCACTAAATTAAACTTTGAATAGTAAATTATTTATATTGTAGTGTCCCTGTATTTTCACACAAGTAATATATTGCGAGCTGATTAAAAGACTAGAACTGCAGGCCAAGCGAAAACTCACGAACGTTTCACAACAAACATCTCGCATAGTTCGTTTACTTGAATGTATTTGATAAAACTAACAAAAGCATCGAAATAATCATCAGCTTCAAATCATTGATGGTGAGTATCGAAGAGCCAAGCGGTGTGCATCCACGTCCCTGAGCATTTAATCTTTGCTCGGTTCACCCTCCCGCAACACCTTATCCCACCCTCACGACGCCTCCGAAGCAGAGCGGTTCACCCCCACCCCCACCCCCATCGCACCTGTTTCCCGCTCTGCGCTGCCCGCTAACTTCGGCCTGATCCCAGCTTCACACTCCCCGCTGCCTGCGGCTCGCTCTCCGCTCTCCGAAGCTCGTTGCCAGCTCACCCCTGTCCTCTGCCTGGTGGCTGCTCCCCACTACCACTCACCGCAGCCCTTTGCCCGGCCCCCGCTGCCTACTTCCCTTTCCCCGCTCCTCGTTGCCCACTTCCTGTTTCTCACAGCCCGCGCCCCGCGCCGCTCGCAGAGCGAGGGCGAAGACCGATGGCAGCGGCAGATAGGATGAGACGAAGGCAGAAAACGGAGCCACACGGCCGCGCCCCGGAGGATTTAGTACGAAAAAGGCAGCAAAGCGGGGCACAGGGCTTATCTAGTCGACCACACGCAGTATCAATTTGCGGCAATTCCGGAGCGGCCCCAGAGCCACCTGCCCGACCACCCGTACGTTCATTTACACACAACAGCCACGTCCACCCACAGGCACTTCCACTCCCGGCGCCGAGCGCGCTACTGCGAGCGCGCCAACGAGAAATCGCCATGACCACCGGGGCTACATCGGGCTACTCTCCTTGCACGGTTGTCGACAGGTGCGGGTGTTTGCGAAGTGTCTTTTATAGCAAAGACAACGTTGTTCTTTCCTTATAGTGTCCGGGAAATTCACTCAACAGAGAGAAGATGAGCTTATTTCCAATGTGACAATTCTCCATTTCAGTTTGTTTTCTGTATTTACATACCAATATATTCTTACAACGCTTCTCCTTCACTGCACCAAATGTATCCGAAAACAGTTAAATACTTTCTTGAACTGTAATGCTGATTTTGAATACTTTTGCTTTTCGAAATATATTGTATTTCTTGGAGATGTGTCACTTTGAAAATAAGCTCTTAAATCCAAAGAGAAACTGAGAGCGTAGGCTTCCGCGGCCGGAGTCGGTATTTACTATGCTGTCCGGGTGACACCGCGTCCATCGCGAAGGTGCCTTGGCACGTGACGTAATTTTCTTGTCAAATAATGTACCATGTTATTCCCTCAAAGGACGTGTTATATTCTCTTATTTATTTTTAATAAAGTTGGCAACTCTTCTTTGGGAAGGCGCCGAGGCTATCCCAGACCGCAGGCACACCCCGCCCCTCTGGCGCGCCGAGCGGGCCATTGACCGGTTGGCGGGGAAGGGAGGAGAGGGCGCTCACCTACATTTCCTGGGGGGAGGGGAAGAGACGTCCCCTCCCCGCTCGAGGCTTCTGTCCCTGGGCAGTGGAGCACACGCCCTGCGGCACCCGTAGGAATAGAACTCGTACAATGTGACGATGACGATACAAATAATTAACTGATACATAAAATTCGAAAGTACGTTGTAAACGGCAATCAACCGGTGCATATTTTGGTTGGTAGAATAAATTCCGCCAAAACGCTTCTAGAGACAATTAGCAAGAAAAGGGAGTTTCATCAATTCAATTTTTTTCCCAGCTATCAATTACATCCATGGAATTTACATTGTTTTATAATTGCGGCAGTGTTGTAGTGTATTATATTATTTACAGTAAGATAGCACACACAGAAAACACATAATGTTAATGATCGTGTGAATTGGATGTACAGAAAGCATGTAGTTCAATCTGCTGGATTTCCGGAAGAAAATTTTTCCAGCAAGTTCAATTTATCATGCAGAAAACGTACAGTTTGACTGTAGCGCTTTTAGCGGTTGAATCGTTCACTAACACTTGTTTACAGCGGATATCGTTCATCCTTTTCGATTCAGTGGTTATGTTACGTGCGATTCGTGAGAAATGGTGAATTGGCGGGGCGGACTGGAGTTCTAGGCTTTTCTGGTGTGTTTATTTTACTGCCTCTTGCAAATGTGAGGTTACTGAATTTCACTACTACAGCCAAGACTTCCTCTATTCGGGGGGTTTCTTTGCACATCCGATGAAGCCTTCGCAGCCATAACCAAGCTTGTAGCAACTACGATGACAGTCTTTCTACTTTTTATTTATTCATTAATATTTGAAAGAAGTGTTAATAAAGTAGCTGAGAACGCACGAAAAGAAATTTCGCGAATGAATATATTCGGTCAGCGCAATTCAGTAATACATTTGTGTATGGCAACTAGAATAGAAAATGTTTGACCATGTAAACACGAAACATGCCTTTTGGCTTCTTATATTTCTAGTTTGGGATCTTGAAGTTTGTGTACAGATTCTGTATGATAATCTGCACGAAAACTACCATATAAAAAGGCCTGAAGGCCATTCTACACAAAATCTTAGGAGTGACATCTAACCTAACCACAAAATTGAAGAGAATGGATGATTCCTGCCATAAAAAAGCTGTTAGTGATCATGTCGCTAGAAGTGCTAGAGTAAACTGTACGTTTTCTCTACGAACAATATCGAACATGCTGTAAGATTTTCATGCAGAAATCGTGTTCGCCCAAACTGCACGAAAACTGTATAGCGTAAAAAGGTCTTAAAACATTTCACGTTCCTGGGGCGGCGTGGTGTCTGCCCCACTGTGCCCGGGCCTTTGGACCACCCGCCGCCCGCCCGGATTCCGCCGCCGCGGCCTGAGCGCCTGCGCCGCGCAGGAAATACTACGCGAGGGAGCCCGTTTTGACACCGACCTTCCTCTAGCCTTTCGCGATTTACGGCCGGCCTTCTTCCATTTTCCCCTTGTTTTGGTCGCTTTTGCGCGCGGAACATACTTCCAGTTCTTTTCGTAAGCATTCTTGCCGCCCGCCGCGAAATATAAAACTGAAAAAGAATACAGGCATAGTTGGATAAGGCGGGGAAAAGGTCAAGAGGCATCTCGTTCCACATTAATCTCTCAACTGTTTTTTTTTTATTAAATGTATTTTAACTTAGTTTGACAAATTAAGGTTACACTTTACTGCACTTATAAATGCAGACCATTTCCTCCCTTTGAAGAATTTTAAGTTGTTATTTTTTCCAAAGTGTAAAATTTGGAATTTTACGTGAAGTCGAAGTTCGATTTCCACCAATTTAAAGCCCAAAAAGTAAACTCTTCAAAACCACGAAAACGTCTGCAGGTTGCCTCGCAAGAGGGTTGCCTCGTATGTATGGAAGGCCGGTAAAATCTAGGTTCGAACCCTGGTAGAGTTTTAACATAAGTACAAGTAAATATTGATGGAGTTGAACAAAGAATCTGAAGCGGGCTCTTATATTATCAGTTGCGTTATTTCTGTGAATAAAATATCTATAGCGTCTTAGAAATGAAACAAGAACATTTATGCATTGCGTGCATCATGCTAGAGCATGAGATACCCCTTCACTTGTTTTCTAACAAAATACAGCTTGTAGACTATTTATCAATCTATTTCATTTGTATAGTACTGATTGTCACAGGTAGTAAAAAAACCCTTCAGCATTCATCGATGTCTAAAGAAGTTTTATAGTTCAGTCAATGAAGACGGTGCAGAGAATATGATCGGGGACATAATGTTTAACTTCCGGGATTTAATTGGAGTAGTTAAGAGGTAAACACGCAGTTGTTAAAGAGGTTAGCAGGGGTTAGATAACATATAGTTCATATATTTGCACTCAAATAAACAAAAGTAAGGTAAAAATACAATATACAGGATTAATACTAAGATGTGGTCTTTAAATAATGAACTGAATTGTGTTTTCGGGGGGAGGCGAGGGATATGTATGTATAACTGCTGGAGTTAGGACGGTTACCTCCTAATTAGTATCTTCTTGGCTCTCTGGGAGACATCGCGTCCTAGACACAAATATCAGAGTTTCGGCCGTTTTTCCTTAAGGCCAAAAGAGAATGGAACGTCGCAGCACGACGGCCGAAACGTTAGCATCTGTACCCAGGACACGGCGTCTCCGGTTCAGCCACGTTGCTATTGACTGCAGTCCCAGGTGCCTAGGTTTTCATTTCTACCTCCTAACTACATCACCACAGAATGGAAATCAAATCATCCGGACTCGGGGACTGATCCTTTCCAAGCACCTCCTCCCCCAAAAAGACCCAGAGAAAAAAAAATAAAATGGGAAAAATGAAGGAAAAAGAAAAACAAGTTTGTAGCCTTCGTATATTTGACAAAATTGATTTAAATATTTATTTTCGTTAGAATTAGACAATTGTTTAAAAAATAATATTGCGTAGTATCATTCCTACACTACAAAAATAATATAAATTATAATAAGAAATAAGGTTATTATTTAACAAAAATCTACGCCCCTTTTTCACATAATCGGCTGGACGAATTGCAGAACTCGGTGGTCAGGGAAGTGATACTTTTGAAGGAAATTGCAACAGCATTGCGTCCGTTCTTAACCGCCTTTCAGTGACCTCCATCCACAATATCTCAGCGTGACGCGAGCGTTGTTCAGAGAAGTGCGGCGTGCCGGACAGAAATGGTCCACTCTGCATACAATCTGCAGCGCTGCTCGTGCGGCTGTCAGAGGGTGCGCAGCTGTAGAAAGTGACGCGCAATGCGGGGCAGACGCAGCAGATGCGTAGCGCCTCCAAAGAGACTCCTTCTGCGCTGCCTCCGTCTGCGCGCAGGCGATCCTCAAAATGGTGCAGAATGGAGTGCGGAGATGCTATTGCCGCGGCCGCGAGCTCCATTCACAGAGCAGCGCGGAGCGGTACCGCGGCCCTGCTGTGCCCTGGCTTCTTCCAATTCTTCTTCTTCTTTTCCCTCCTCTGCATGATGATCTTCATCGTGTTGTTCTTCTTCATGATCATCCTAATCTTTATTCTTTATCATAATATTCATTATCATCTTCTTCTAGTAACCTCTTCCTGCTTCTCCTCCTGCAGCGGATTTGAAAGATTTCATCACTTTCGAAATTCTTCTAATCACTTTATTTCAGTCGTTTCCATCCGCAATCTCTAAATACAGGAACGATTTGCCTCGATTTCTTCCCAACGATTTCTTCCACAGTCACAGCGTCGTCGTTGCCTGTTTTGTACGCCATTTGCAGTCGTCGGCAATACAGGTGCAAGTCGTTGAAATGTAGACATGCGTCATCTCGACGCCACCACCTAACTGCCCTTGGGCACCAGCGGCAGTGACCAGTGTCACGCACTAGGTCGAGTTCAGCCGTTGCGAGAGCAGTATTTTAGCAGCTGGCTGTTACGGCCGATAGTTTTCCATGGTTCCGCTGATAGACACCAGGCGAATAACGGAGCAGTACCCTAACAAACGGGATACGCGCGATCTTTCCTTCTTCTTCCTTATCGTTTACTTACCTCTTACACACACAAATACTCACATTCACTACACTTCCACACATCTCAGGAGACCAGTCGGGAGCTGAGAGCTTGTCGCGGCAGGGACGGTGCTCCATTGATGGGAGATACCTGGTTGAGGGAATTCCCGCTATCCTACGTTTAGGTCGGTGCCAGATTTCACCATTCAGCAGGAAACGGATCACCGTCACCTCCTACGATAAAAGGCATGCACTATACTTATGGACTAATGACCGCAGCAGCTAACGCCCCCGAATTACAAAATAATCAATGCACGGGTGGCTTCAGCGGTAGCTGAGCCACGCGCTTCGAAGCTGCACTGCCCCTTCCCCCGGCAGCTGTATGAGCATGGCGCCCACTTCTTAGGGACACGACGTCCATGTTTTCAAAATATCGATGTTTATATAAAATTAACGATGTATATAACATCCATTGTTTGAAGCCAATGTTTTTTTCCGTCGAAGTTTTTGTTAAAAATTTTTACAAGTGTCCATATTATGTAAATGAACAACGTCGAACTTAACAAAATCCTATTATAATTTTCAGTTATCCATAAATTGACTATTCTTCAGACCAATGTGACGAAAAGAGAATAATAAATGGAATCCAGTTTTTGCCTATAAAGAAGCCTCTATTATTTTTGATATATCGAATCAGATTGTCCAAGTTTCATTAATTGTTCTGATGATTTTCTGGTTTGTTTACACAGTTAAATATCATTTATAATTAACAAACGTTATTACTTTGAAATTAAATCTCCTCCTGCGTGAATGTCAATGCTTGGATAAAATTAAGCTACATTTATTTGAAATGCAAATGGGTATAATTCGGTGGCACATAATTACGTAAATGAGATAATGTAGCTAACATGCAATATATATATATATATATATATATATATATATATATATATATATATAACAACAATAATAATGGTAAAATAATAATCATATAAACAATAAAAACAGCCCATAAAACCACGATAATAATAATAATAATAATAATAATAATAATAAAGATATAAAAACTGACTGATTCATATAACATTAAATTACCTTAAGGAAAAGAAAGTTCTATAATATAACTCCGCACTGAATGATTGTTCAATTAAGACCACATTGCCCTGCACTTGACTTCACTTCATTTCACTATGACCCTTTAATCACATTATTTATTACTTTTTGTTCTACACGGCGTGACACCTCACTTCAAAACATACCACTTACGTATCGCTCTATTACCAACTATTCTCAGTTAAGTCCCTCATTTACTTAGTATTACCCTAAATTAATTTCCTAAACTGTTGAACGCTACGAGGAAAGAGTTCAAAGATTTTTGCAGGCCATCTATTCCATTCCGTTATCGTTCGATTTCTGAAAGAAAATTCCCCGACATCCGTCCTCTGCGATCTTAAATTTATTTTGTGCCTGTGATCCCCCTACTGATATATGTAGAAATGCTTAGCCGCCGTTTAATTTTTCACGCGTGATTACCACTATAAGCTTTTTTACACAAAGCGCACAGTCTTCATACTGATCCCCTGTTTTTCAATGAATCTCATCCTGCAATTTTCGTGTTCCTGTAAGTAAATTTTGCTGCCCTTCACTGAATTCTTTCCAAATTTTTACACTGCATAATTTTGTGCGGATCCCAACAACTTTATCCATATTTGATTATCGGACGAACAAGCGATAAATAAGCAATTTATTTTGCGTTTGCTGAACTCTTTTTCACGATGCGCATTACAAAGTAAAGAGATCTCCAAGCTTTCCTTACCACAAAATCTACCAGCTTAATTTCCAATCTAAATAGATTCCTAGGTACTTGCCTAAGGAAACTCTCGGAATAATGTCATTATTTAAATGGTTATTTGTTTCTCTGTAATTAAGACCCCTGACAAAAGTAATGGATTTGTTTTTAAAGCTATTTATGACTATTCCATTATTTTCCGACGTAATATAACACATTAAGATCCCGTTGCAGCATTTTGTTCATCTTCTTTCTAATTCATATGACATATTATGCAATCGTCTGCAAATAGCCGAACATTTGAGGTTAAGTGTGTTGGCAGATCATTGACGAACACTAGAAATAGAAGAGGTCCAATGACACTTCCCTGCAGTATTCCTGATGTAATGCTTGCCCCCGAAGATACCTCATGCCCAATTCGGACTTTCTGTTTTCTGTCTCGCGGAAACTCGCTAATCCACGCCACCACGATGCCTGATGTCTGAATTCATTAATTTCTGTACAAGCTCATCGTGTGGAACGACATCGATCGCTTTGGCAAAACGATTGCGTCTATTCTCCCGCCAGCATCAATTTCATCTGCTAGATCCTGAAAAGTGTGACTACCTGACTTTCGTGAATTGAGTAAACACTCCTGAACCCGTGTTGACCACCATAGAGCCGATGTTTGATTTTCCATTTTTGCTTAATGTAAGTCGCGACTACATGCTCCATATGTTTGCAGACCACTGACGTAGACGCTTATACTAAT